TATATAATGTTTAAACTAAACATAAATTGTAGTCACTCTTAAGTGATGCAACATCACGATGGGCTGAGAACAGAAGTTCACTTTTAATTAGTCAGGGGTGCTCGACTAGTCTCAAACTGCAATGGGGATCTAAACAAGCAATATTCACTATTAGTACCGTCGCGGTGTCGCACCGGTGCGGTGACGTGAAACTAAAACCAGTGAAGCACTCTCGAACAATGGCGTAGTTTCGAACAAGCTATTATACGTAATCTAATTACTTACAAGAATAACTTAATTTGTAAACGAAGTACTGGTCACTGTGTATGGAGTCAGTCACCAGCCAGGGACCAGCATATTATCATTAACTTCTTATGAAATGTTCCGCGCCGGTAGCTAATGATTGAGCCCTCTACGTGTAGAACAAAACAGGTTACTGGGAGTAGCTCTAGATATAGTGGTCTGCGTTATGTTACTTCATGTCCGGTGTAGGTAGAGCCGGGGTACGAAAACAACCGCGGTTTGGTAAAAAGGGAAAGCAAAAACATGTTGAGTGAAGAGTCAGCAGGCGGAATGATGCACAGCGTCGTGTACAATCAATACATAGTATAAAACAAAGTCGCTTTCGCTGTATGTCCGTATGTATGCTTAGATCTTTAAAACTACGCAACGGATTTTGATGCGGTTTTTTTTAATAGATATTGTGATTCTTAAGGAAGGTTTATATCATGCATATTGCACCCGTGCGAAGCCGGGGCGGGTCGCTAGTATATTATATAGTATAGTACCTACATCTCTCGTACCTGCAGTCGCCGACGTCGCTGAGGTGCCGACTGCGCCGACGTCAGCTCGATTATGTTAAACACAAGCAAGTAAAGCCAGATGAGCCACAGCTGTGCGATGGTTGTGGAAATGGTTGCAATGATCGCCCGCTGAGCGGTCATCCGTCAGGCTCGCGATGTAGCAGCTGCCGGCGGGGATTTGCATTGTTTTCATATCGCCTGCTGACTTCATAAACATTACACCACCACACTTTATTGGTTAAACGTTATGAAGTCGTCGGCCTTCATGTGTTATGAATTATCTAATTTTTCATTAGTACCCACCCAAAGTGCCATCAGTTGGTGCAGTGCGCAGTGGTGTGGCGGCCACTGCGGCCAGTAACTGCGCAGCGTGTCTCGGGTTCCATTTACACTATTGTTCTGAGTTGATGATTCGTTTTACAAAAAATGAAGTACTTTTTCACTGCTTTAATATCTCGTACGACATAAAGGTTAAGTTTCACTATTACTACTGTAGTTGATACCAGTTTCAATCATTCATGTATTCTACCGGCGACAGTGTCCGAACGAGTGATGTGGAGTGCACTGATGACTGTCAGTTGTCACGGTTCACAAAATAAATGTATCTGTCGTTTTACGCAGGACAAACTGTCACGCCGCCGTCGACTTGCTAAAAAGAAAGTGTAGAGAATGATGGAATATCAGAATCTGTAAGAATATAGTAAGTGGATAGGACGTCGTGATAACCTAGCGACTTCCAGTCGAGAGATGTCGGAGGCAGCGCGTCGCGTCCGCCTCGCGCCGGTCCCTGCTGGCAGCACTGGCAGCACTGGGAGCACTGGGAGCACTGGCAGCACTGGCTGGCAGGCGGTTGCAGGTCATTAGTGTCGCGCGCCGTGACACGAGCAGTGAATGTGAGAGCTGAACTCGAGGCCCCGATGACGTCACTGTGCACAAAAACTGTCGCTTCCACTAATGCGCTGTATTCGCGTGATATTCGCTCCCAACCATCAATTTCACAGAGAGGGATTGTGCAAATCCTCGTCCATTGAAGACGGCCCTCGTTCGATCCCAGCCCCGCGCCGCTATTGAAAGATCTTTCACATTAGGCGCCGGCTCGCCTCTAGGTACTCATTATATCGCTGCTGGTGACATATGGCAACGTGTAATGTCGACGTATACGGTATCAGTATGGCCGTGTGTGCCTGCGAGTCCCCCCGCCTGGCTACGGACCCTCATATGTTCACCAACTAGTGATTGT